CTTTTCTTCAGAACCTAAAGACCTTTTGCTCTTGGGATTGTACCAGGAAAAAAAGAAATACAGGACCGTAGCTAAAAGGTTGGTTAACGTAAAGAAACTCCTCAGGTTAAATATGGTGTACGGTATTTAATATCTCCTCCTGGATAGAAAATGCCCAGTGTTCACAACAGCAATAGAATGGAATGTTATAGTTGCTGTGGCCTTTGTGTAGCATTTATAACGACTGCAGATTGCAAAAACAAATGGGGAAGTTCTGCAATCAGGAGCTTTGAAACCCTCAGGCAGTTCACCTAACTTTCTAGGAGGGCTGAAATCAGTATAAGTAGCTCCAAATTTATGAATAGATGGTTACTAATTGAGGGTAATATTATCTCTCACATGATAGCTTACAGAGAATAGGGCATTCTGTTTCACAAGGATGTTGAAGCTTGTTGAAACCTAACTACGTGTTTTTCTAGATATCAACACCTGGAATTAATTTTGTGAAATTATTTAGAGCCTTTTTAAAAAGAGTCTGACCCACTGCTTTCAAAGAGATACTGACATGACATGATTGTCTGAACATCCTGCAGAGAATCAACTTCCGTGGAATACATTTATCTCTAGGTATAACTCAAAAATCTAGGAAAAGGGGTTTTATTTAATAAGCAGTCATGACTTCAGACATATGCTTGATCAGGTGTTTCACTAACTGTACAATGGGTACTCAAGAATTAATGTGTGAAACTGACGCATGTTGAGTCAATAGGATTGGCACAGAGCAGTGTACCATTATGTCCAGTTCTATTTTGATTTCACTTCTAGACTAGAAAATGTCAACACTTTTAGTGTCTGCGATGATGTGAACACCCTGTAAGTGAAAATAATGTTCTCTCTTCAAAGTGGCTGCAAGAATCAGTGTAACACAGAGAATGTACAAATCAGTTACTGAATGTCAATTTGTACATTTCAGTGAGTATCAGGAAAAGCATCAGTCAATAAAATCCTTTTAATTTTCACATGTTACTGGCACCATATACATATTGCACCATCTGTCTTTTCTCTCATCTTGCAGTGTTTCTGATGAACAGTTTCAGTAATTGCATAGAACACATTTCAGCTTAGTGAGTCGGTGTCACTTCCAGTATCACTTTCAGGGACAGCATTTCTCAGTATTCGGCTCTCTTTCTCCAAAATTAATTTACAATATTGCCATTATACACCCTTTTCTTAAATGTTTTAAGTGCTATGGTGATAAATACAAAATACTTCTTTTCATTTTCTCCATAAGTTATGCTTTTTCAGTTCTAATTTCTTCCTTGTTCTCACGTAAAACACACCACACTCTTACCTTCTTCTTGGACAGAATCAACATTTGATCTGATTGTGTTGATTTTATATTTGCTTTCTGTATATGTTGTCAGCTGATTATGGGATTTTACTGAGTAAACTTCTCTACTGTATTAGCTTAAAGTTCTCAGCTTGGTGTGGTTAATGTGCCACCACTTCAGCTGAGTTATGTGATCAGTGCTGTCATTTGGGTCATCTGGGACTTTTCCAGACTTCTGGAGCTACTTTTAGCTACAAAAAACAAAACAAAAACAAACAAAAAACCCCATCAGTTTGCAGTCCTTGTTATTTCTGCCAATATCCTCTCTTTTCTTCTTGTTCCTAGAGGGCTCACCAGGTAATCTAACCCTCATAACCAACCGTCTTGGTGACAGAAAAAGGATTTATTTTTTACCTTTATACATTTTTGGAGTTAAAGGATTCTGTGGATTCTGTTGCAATCCACATTTCTCACCTTCAGCCAGGAACAGTAGGAATTAAATATAGTTAGGCATAACTCTTGTTATTTTAAGGCCCATTAAGTTTTGCATGAGTCAAATCTGTAAGGAATAACGGGATGTTCTGCACATGGCACAAGCCTCCTGCCTCTGTGTTACCTAAGATCAGAATGCTTGGTAGTGTTGCCACACGTTATAAGTGAGCATGTTGTCATCCTGTGCTGCAAACTCATGCTGTGTCCATCACTGGAGTGGCACGGCTTCCTGCTACTTTAGTTAAGGATAAGTATGTGAGGTAAACTCATAAACCTTAGCATGCTAAGTGATGATGACAGTCTTTCCTTACTTACCGTTGCTTGAGCCTTTTTTAAGGTTGGCTTTCTGCTGTTGTGAACATTATTGTGATTTCTCCCTCTTAGTGTCATGGCCCACTTTGCTTTCTTCTTTTGGCTCACAGAATACCAGCGTTTCTTAGCAGAATGCATAACTGAAGTCACTTTCCAGTGATTGGAAAGCAGGGAATAATGCCTGTGACAGTTTCTGGTAATTGCTAATTTCTGATCCAGTCATAGCACTGTGATGAAGACACAAACTGAAGTTTTAGTGGTCCTGTAGTCTTCCTAGAAAGATGACAAATTGTTCTTCTTCAAAAGTTCCCTCATGGAAATTGAAGGTAGAACTAAAAGCAACTCTGTCTCATGAATAGTCACGTAGAAATGAAACATTTTATATGAAGCAGCATACTTCCCCATAGCTCTTAGTCAGGAGACCTACTTGAAGACAAAATGGTTATCTGCCTCATAACCTATGCTACTCTCCAGCTCTGCTGTGATGGGTTATGTTCAAGTAAACCAGTAGCTTGGTTGTAATACTGAAAGTAGCCTCGTGCTGCTTTATTCTCTCTTAGTTTTGTTTTAGTTTTGCAGTATTTTACAAACAGAAGCTGCTCACTGAACTAACCGATCCTTCCTGCTCTAGGAGGTAGGGCCTGCTGCTGGCCCACTGGAGGGGGTGTTCCTTTTTTCTAAACAGTCAGACCTAAAGAGCTCTTGTGAAATCATTGGCATAATGCTGTGTTTCCATAGCAGTCACTGGCAGGAGGTACTGTTGTGAATGTTAACATCTCTGTGGCACAAAGCCCCACGTACCGCCGTCTGCTGCCTGTGGCGTTAGTGGAATGACATACACTGGAAGCATGTCACAATGTTTGTAGGATCTCTAACTATAGCCAAGTAGCTAGGTGTCTGTAATTCAATGGAAAACTGCAACAAACAGAAGCACTTCTTTGCTTCATAACTGTACAGTTGTACAGAAATGAGCTGAATAAGAGCAGACGGGGTTTACACTTGTTCTGCCCGTGCACTTTTGCCTAAACAAAGGCAGGATTGTACATGGGCTGCCCTTGGAGCTGGCTGAGATTCTTCCCGGGGAGAATTTAAAAGAGATTATGTTTAATACTCCCAGAAGAGTTCTGGTGAGCAGCCTGCCACTTATGGGCTGTCTTGTCTTTTGTGGAGATATATTAAACTGTATAGAAATATACAGTATAACTGTATCTATTTGTTTCTGTTTGATTTTTTTTTTTTTAATCATTCTGCTTTCCTAGTGTTGAAATACTGTTTGTAAGTTACTGCCTCTGCTTTTTGCCCAAAGCTTGAGATGGCATTGCTGAGAGCTGTCACTCATCACTATCCATGCCTCTATTTCTCCCTTTTCCCCATCTGTCTTTTCTGATGATACAGCAAAATGGGCAAAACATTTAATTGCTTTTAATTGCTGATGGTGCTTAAATATGGACAGGATCGCTTCACCTTGATTTAATCATATTAAATTAAGAAAATTTTGTGCAAGTTGTGCAAGCCAGTAGTGGTTATCTTGTGGAGACAGTGTGAGGCTCTGGAAGGTAAGCATGTCACTTTTTAATCTTCCAATCTATGCAGTGTTTGGTGGGTTGGAAGAGGTGAACCTAAGAGTTACAGCATTCAGAATGATGTTCAGTTTCAGGTTTATTTGTAAGCACACAGAACATATGAGCCTGCATAGAGAGTTTTGTCCCCAGGACAAGTTATGTCGTATCAGCCCATCTTTGTCCTGCGACGTTATTATGTGGATGGAAGTGGAAGACATATCTTTCATTTTGTCATTAGTCAAGCTTTTTACATTATCTCAGATGAGATCCTTATAAGTCAGGGAAATAAAAGTACTATTGTGTGTCAGCAGTGCTGGTTAAAAGGACACACAGGAGATATCAGGGATTTGCTGACAAAAAAAGCACCATTTATCAAGTGAGTTCTGCATAAGGTCTCGCTTGGATCAGGCACTGTAGCAATAGAAGACACTCTTAAGAAACAAGGATTCATCAGCTGAAACCTCAGAGAAATACTTGTTTAGAACAGGTTAGACTTCTGGCACAAACAGTTTGAGGGTGGTTGATCCACACTTGAGGCAAAAGAAGAGACCAGGTAAGTTTCCCACTGTTTTCTTAATCAGTAGACATTTTGTAAAGATAGGTGAGTCAGCCTCCATCCAGTTATAGGTTGACAGAGAAGAGATTGTTAAATAAATAAAACACTTAAGTAAACAGTGTTACCATCTGACAAAACTACCATTTCAGAGTTGGCTGGTAAGTGTTTTAATGAGGTAGGTGAAGCATCAATTGCCTTAAAATATGCTTCTGGGATACTGATGAATATTGCGTATACCTTGAATTTGCATGCATCTCATGTCTTTTAGGCTCCATAGGTTGAGTAACAATGATGTTGGGTAACAGACTACACCTCAGGTTCTCCTGTAACCATATTTTAATGAAGTCAACGTTCTATAGGTAGGAAATACTACTGAATGTTCACTGTTTAACCTAGTTTGGAGATTCTTTGGAATGGAAACTATTTACCTCTTAGGTGATATTGTTGATTAGACAAACTTCTGTTGATGGCCACCTCATTTTTCTTTTGCTACCCCAACGAGATAGAGGTATTTGCTCTGGTGGTTTTGCAGCAGCAGGTACATGACATTAACCAGGGGCCAGTCCATTAAAGTGTTATTAACTTATTGATACTTACCTTGGGTCTTCACTTCTGAGTGAATAATCAACTGACCTTTCCACTTTGGAGAAGATGTTTTCCAAAGATCTTTATATTTTCATTGCAAATGATTTGATGAGCATTTGCACCAGGCATTTCATATAAGAGAAGTACCCAACCCTCAGAATCATAAGAAAAAACAGAACACAACTTTGCAAACAAATATATGTTTAATTGCATTTTATAGATGTCTTACAGCTGTTAAATATATTATTCTACTGTATAATTTATCGTTCTTCCAGTTCCTTTAGCAGTTCATCAAAATGAGTAATGTACCATTTGGCTTTCTCCTTTACTTGCTTTCTGATTACATTTCCTCCAAATCCAATGAAGCAGTCCTTCAAAACACAAAGAATGGGCACATACATTATTGCAGTCCTGTTTAAGGTATGGAGCATTTCAGCAATTAAATTTGTTTATAAGATTGTATTTTAAAATTAGTGTTCTTCCCCACCTCTTCCCCTATTCATTTCTATATTTAAGAACAGGACCTTCATTAACAGCTAATTTCATGCCACTTTGGTTATTAGAGTTTTGTTCCAGCAGCAACAGTAACTTCCAGGTTGTCCAGATCTGAGATTTGTGCTGAAAATCTGATGTGGCTGTGATGCAACATAGAGCCTTGCTATTCAAGAATGAGTTAACACTGAACATGCATGCAGCACCTCACAGTTATCCCTATTCTGTTTATCTTAACTCTGTTTACCTCATTTCATAGATACCAAAAGTAAACATTAACCATGATTGCAATCATTAACCATGAACAGTCATCTTTCTAGATTTTAGAAAACCAACTGCAGTGAAAATAATGTTTAAAATTTCCACTGCTGCTTTTTTGCATTCGGGTAGAAAATATTAAGCAATTAATAAGCTCCTTTGATCACGCACATACTTAATGGCAAGGGACCTGCTGCCATAAGTCACATCAGCAGTGGCTCTCGGAGTTTGTTCCTGTGCACAGGGATATCTGTCCCTAACACTGGCCAACCAGGGGCACTGGGGTATTTTTTTGTAGAGAAGGGTGCCTGAGATGTGACACCATTAGGATCTCTCATCTCTGAAATGACCACTTATAAAAGCTGTTTTTCTAGTTACTTATTCCATCCCTGAGATAGGGCTATCTTCAAAGGTATCATCACTTTGCAGTGAGGTGAACCCTGTTGCTAGGCTGGTATCAAGTAAGTCGTGCATCAGATCTGTCTCAGATCTTCATACTTAGCACCATTTATTAGCGTTCAGAAGTGGAATCTTGATAGTGATTGAACCTCTGTACAGGGCCCTGTGTGGAGGCAAACACTGGCAGTGTAGGTGGGAAAGGCAGACATGCTATCAGCTTGATTTGCAACAAGTTGCTAGGCCTTATGCAGTTCTCTTGAACAAAGCCAGCACCCTGGCTTAGAGAGTGGAACATTTACTGAGTTTTCAGATGAGAGAAACCAGACAACACAGCTTTTCTAGAGGAAAGTGCCTACACAGATCCCTGAAGTGCTGCAGCTCTTCCTTGAAGTCCTATGAGGAATTTAAGCTGCAGTTTTTAAATACTTACAGCTGGAGGACAGGCTTCCATGTCTGTAGCTCCATCTCCAATCATAACTACTTTCTTAAAGTGGAACTGTTCTTTCAGATGAGTGATAACCTTTCCTTTTCCCCCTGATTCAGCTGTTGGTTGTGTTTCATCAAATCCTGCATATTCTCCTAGAACAGTAGAAGGACGAGTGAGACACATAGCATACTTTCATGTCAGTGCAGAAAGATAAATGCCTGTGGTGTTTTCTTCAGAATGCAGCTAATTACATGCAGTCCTGTAAGCTTCACAATCAGCATTCCGAAGAAGTAATCAGAAGGTAAGCATAAAAATCAGTATTTTACCTAAGTCTTCAGTGGGCTATGAGCAGAAATGCTAGGACAAAAGTAGAAACCATGTATGGTAGTGTGTCAAATCCATTCCCAGTCACTCTAATCCAGTCTTTCTGGTCTAAACATTTGAAAAGCCACATCCAGTATGAAGGATAAACAGTGTACAAAACACTAAGTAAGAACCAACCACATTAACCACAGTTCTACTTGATTACACTAGCTTAAAGTCCAAAGCAGCTGCACTGAAGTTAAGTTCGTTGGTCACCATACATACCTCAAACTCACTGAAAGTGAAGTTTGCTTCGGAAAGCAGGTAAGTGTAATAAGCTCTTTAAACTTGAAAGAGTGAATGAAATTCTGCTGTCAGCAACTGTAATGCTTTTTAACTTTGGCACAAGTTGCAGTTTAAAAGTACTGCTCTATTTGATTTATCTGAAAAGTGACTTAAACTCGTGTTTTTGGGGGAAGTCTTGTGATTTTCCTACTTGGAAACAGACTTAGTCTTGGAGCTGGCTGGATTGGTAACAAGGCAATTTAGTCTGGACAATATCTGTAGTACAATATCTGACAGTTTGAACACACAAAAAAATGGCACTAATTAGTAGAGAAAATAGCTGTTAGGGGAACCTCACCATTAAAGTAAAACTTCAGCCTGTTTGCAAAAACATTTGCTGTAGGAATGTTCAGCTGTAGGGCCACGTGCTCCACGATGCTCTGAAACCCCCCGGAGACCAGGAAGACCTGAACCCCTCGTTGATGAAGCCTGTTCACCAGCTCCCTGGAAGAAAGAAAGTCACCAAGTGTGAGAGCCAGGCAGCAGCTGGTATGTAAGGTGTGTAAAGGGATACGAAGAAAGCCAAAATGCATCTTTTCTAAACAAGGCTATCCATATGTTTTGTTAATCCACTTTACTTAGGGTGTATGCTGCTTTCCAGCTCCATCCTAATCTGCTCCTAGAAGTTTTTCCGTCTTTTCTTTGCAAGTTTGTGCTGGAAAAGAGCTGAGGAAAACCATCTTGTCTAGAGGCAAACAGCTATTTAGTTGCTCAGAAACGAGCACTGCCTAGAGATGTTTCCTTTACACTTTCATATTGTTCACGTTTATTCCCCTGAACAAATGAGACCAGATCCAGCACACATTGTTTTCTGAAGCTCATTATAAAACTAGCAAGAAAAAAAAATCTTTGGTACTGAAAAAGAGCAGAGAATGTAGAGAACATAAAACCGCTGCACAAAAATGCCCACAGAAGTGGGCTAAGAAGTATGCAGAGTGCAAACATTGTCTAACTCAGAACTGCTTGCCCAAATACTCTCTGTAATAGAAGGCACCAGAATTACAGAATGAAGTTTTCAGACATGATTCATGTCAGTGGGACTTAAGGGCAGGCAATTAAAAGTTTTACAAAAGCTGGCTGTAGAGGCAGAAAGATCAGCATACAGTGATGTAAGCAGTAGAAGTGATAGTAGTAGGAGAAATGCTAAATACTGGAAAGCAAAGTGGAGGCTTAAAAGAGGCTACCCAGAGAGGGGGGAAGAAAGAGAAGGAGTGAAAAGGAAAATCATGTGATTCTAAACACAGAAACAATGTTCCCTTTGTGGTTGCATCTAGCTATGCCTTCTACAGAAAAAGCTGAGCATGTGCTTCATTTTAAGGAGAAAATACAAGCACAGTGTTGTCTTAAACCTACTGTATGTGCCAAAAAGAATTTAGATTTACAGCTATGGCCAGAATTCATAGTAAAGGAAACATTTCAGTTGTTTGAAATAATCTAAATAGCAAGAAAAACCTTTCCAGATAAATTAAGGTTTATTCTAAACCCAAAGGTGAATATAAGTATGTATTGTATATATATATATGATGATATTTAAGTATGTATTTGCCCTTCATGATTTTTTTTTAATCATTAAAGCCTCACTAATGTCACGGAATTTTGTTGATATATTCTATGCATTTTTAGAATACTGATCCATTAGGCTATTCCAGTTTTTTCTTACCGTATTCCTGGTGTTAGCTGAGGTGGATTGTCAGATATTAACTTTTGCACTTGTTCATAGGAGGGCCGTATGAGTCCTAGTCGTGCTGTTAAAGCTGCTTTGAATGTCACAGTGCCACCCATAGCTCTGCGGGTCCTGAATTGAGATCCAAACACAGCAGATCAGTGACACTTAACAAGTTGAGGCTTCTCCCAGGGACTTATTTAACAGCACTGTCAAGGAATAAGCTAAGAGCTCATTAGTTCTAGTTATGCCATGCTGCCTATGTTGTAGAGGACAAGATTGGTACACTGAAAAGGTTGGTAGTAATCACTGGTGGAAGAGCTGCACAGATCAGACTCTTGTAAGACCCAGTGGCACAAAGGAAAACTGGTTCTTTCTGTGAGTGCAATGTGAACCATTGGAAACACTGTTCCTAAACTGCAGGCTGACTGATGTCTCTGAAATTAACAGGACTTTTGCTGCAAGTTTCAGTGGAAACATCAGCCACAAGGAGGTGAAAGGAGTTGTCCCCTCTCCTCCTGCTCACAGTAAGGTTCTAACACCTCATGCTGGTGTGTCAAAGAAATGTACTTCAGAAAATTTTAGTATAATCTTGTTGAGTGGCTTCAGAATTTTAAAAAAATAGAGTTATTTCATTATGCTCAACCTCATCCAAGCTTACTTTTTACCACTGCTCATGTGAAGTAAACAGCAAATATACATACATCTCTGCAACAGCATCTCCAACTCCGCAGAACTTGGCAAGCTCATCGATGCCTTCTTCCCTGATGACTGTACTGTCCACATCAAAGCACACTGCGTCAGCGTTGCGGAAGATTTCTTTCATCTCCAGAAGGGACGCCATCCTTTTAGGAACCTTCTTACTGTAAGAAGATAAGATGCATTCTTTCTGTGAGTCACAGTACAGGACTCCGTCTTGAGCCATTGGAGCGACTGATCTGGTGGTGGCGAGAAGGGTCGAGCACAGCCTCCTAGCCAGCTTTTATCAAAGTGTGAGCAGTGGTGGAAGTCTGGCTCGGCTGCTGATTTGCTCTCTGCTGTTGCTGCCTACTGATGTTCAATTTACGTTATAGGTGGGCTGTGGAGCTGTGGACAGCTGCTGATTTGCTCTCAGCAGGTTCAGCCCATTGATGTTCATTACGGGTTCAAGGCTGTAATACTTGGCATTTGCTCAACCATCAGATTGCCAACTACTGTACATGACTCAAAATTCTCTCTTCTTGCCTCAGCTACTCAAATAGATCTTGATTTCTCATCAGATCCCCCAAGTGCTGTATCACATTAGTTGCCCCTTAAGCACATCAGTGAGTGCTAGTCCCTAAATCATGAAGATTTCAATCCTTTTCTATTTATATAATGTGGTGATACCTTAAGGGGTTCAGTGAAGTTCCCAAACCCCAAACCACAACTTTTTCCATAACAAAACCTGACAAAGGTTTATTTTCTACCTTTTGACATCTGTTCACTTGAAGGTGTGGAGCGCTTCTGCAGATGAGAAGCTCAAGGTGTTATTCAGAATATTTTTAGTCAACCCTCCAATCTTGTGCTTTATGCTTTCATAAGGGATCATGTGTGGACCTCACTATTTACCAATCTGTACATGTAGACACAACTTTCGATCTATCCCATGTCCGCATTTTTGCTGAAGTTCAGTTTGATTCTCTCTTTGCATCTCCCAGACTCATGTATAATTGACCTGGGTGGCAGATGCTTTCTTTTTTCTGGGTTAGAGGAGAAATAGCTTTAACAGCATATCATATTGATTCATTCTTGCTCAAACTAATTTATTTTCCTCCTATATATTGTGTAAGTTTTTGTGATGAAAGCTCTTACACCCACAAATTTCCACAACATTTTTTTTCCCATTTGTCCAACAATCTTTTGCACACAAAAGATATCCAGTGAAAACGGGGGACCAGTTGCTACGTATCTTGCTGTGGAAGAGCCTGGGAGCTGAACATGCTGAAGTTGCTCACCATCAGGAGTCATCTAGGGACCACCAATGGTAAGCATCGGTGCTGTTTCCTGAAGTGACTTCTGTGTGCCTACTGAGAGGTCACAGCTCAATAGCTAACGGTCAAAGCAGCAAATAGAAGCCTTTGCTTTTATTCCCACTAGGCCTGGTTGTAGATGATGGTCTTTTTCCTGCCATAAGGCAGAAGTGGTTGTCCAGGTGCTTTGGGGCGTTCAGAGTAAAAGCTGCTGTTCAATCTGCACTATTATTGCTGGGCTAACTCCTGAAGGTTTCATTTTTATTAAGTTCTTAGGTGCACAAATCAACATTAGAACACACTGCTTAACCAAGGACCAATGCATTAACTACTGTTTATAAATTTGGGATCAAACCGAGCTAACTGCTGTCTCAGCCCCTCATTGAAAGGTAAAATAAAAGTCTGCATAATTAAGCAACCGAATCTTAGGAGAGAAACCTGTTGTGTAGAGCTAAGAACCACATTTGTAAGTTAATCTCAGTTTACCAGGCAGATACCAGTGTTAAATATGGAAAAGAAAGAAAGAAAAGACAGCAAGGCATGTGACAGATGAAAGGCAAAGCCATGAAACAGGACTGCTTAAAAGGGTCTTCTGGCTATGTTTGAGTTTTGTGGTCTGAACATGGCTCTAATCACCAAAGTGGGTTTGTGGCTTTTGCACAAGACTGCCAAGGTGATGCTGTTTCTTCCTTAACGTTGCTTTGTCTTGCAGGTGTGGGTGAGATTTGGAGAGCAGATATCACTCAGCCCATAGTTGGACAGGTCTCTGTTCTTGGTGCATTGGAGCTGTTCCCTGCACAGACATATTGTAAGACTGACCTAGCCTTAACAGCTTCACTCACTATAGAATTATTTGCTGCATTTATAGCACTGTACATATAAAAAAAACTATTACGGGCCATCAGCATGACGTAAGAGAAAGCAATCTCTTTAGTGACACGTGTTCCCTTGGACAGAGACTGGTTCTGAGCTAAGACCTGGCAGCAGGTGGACACGTGAAACGTGAATTCCAAGTTTACTTTGCATTAGCCTTGGCTTGACATTGACTCCACAGCACAGTTCTGTGCTTTCAGTGGAAGATTTTGATTTCCTGAGCAGGAGGGCTTTGACTTCAGGGCAGGGCTTGGCAGCCATTTGCATCTACTTGTGCACTAACATTTTTTAAATAGCATGTCATTAGTGTTTTGTGGTTTTTTTTTTCCAGCTTACTGGAAATTATAAAGAATTTAGCCATGGGTTTGGTGCCAATTTTCAGGATTTGCTCTACTGGACAAACTTGTTGCATCACTGTTGTGTGACATTTGCGTCATGTTGTTCCAACACTGATTCCTTATTATGCAAAGCAGTCACATTGCCTCATGCTAACCTGAGGCTGCACTGCAACATTGCCATAGTATGATGCAATATGGCTGCGTGGTGACAGCACTGTTATGTGATTCCTTGGTGAGAACTTGAAATGTATTTTTGGAAACGTCTTCACAATTTTAATCTGATAAAAATGTTATAGTTAGACACACTGGGAGGAGGAAGGAGGAGACATTAACTTTTCCTTCTCCCTGCTACCCCATTTCCCATACTTAGTTCTCTAAATATTCCTTACAATGATGAAAACGCTGCTTGAGCCTCATTTCGATGGATACATGCACAAAACTGTGGCTGGAATTAACTCTGTCTTCTTTTTGTTCTACACAATGACTCTTCCTGAAGAGTTACAGGCTGTGGTTTATAATGCCTAAAAATGTCAAATTGTAATGGAAGAATTGTGTTTTTGAAATGCAGAACAGAGCAATAGTTCCTGATCTGCCTTGGTGTATGACTTGCCAGAATCCTTCTATGTTCAACTGAAGGTAGGCATTGAGTCCTAGAAAACGCAGGCTCATTTGTAGGAAATGTATCATCACACAAGTTGGAGACCTTGTGATCAACTATAAAATGGTGAAATTCGTATTGGATCAACAGTACTGGAGAACATTTGGGGAAGTTTCAGCTGTTGCAGGGAGTCTTGCTCGTGAGAAAAACAAATATTAGGAGTTAAAGGTTGTTAGCTTGGAGTGAAGTAAAGTGCTTCTGCTGTGGTCGGCAAAGCTCGAGGGCTGACCATCACCTCCAGAGGTTAGCAAATGCCACTCCAAACACTAACATACCCAATTCAGTGACTTGTGAATTTTTTTTCCAAAGCCTAAATGTAAATGAGAGCATAAGGCAAGGCTAGTTATGATTGAGGAACAGGCCACAGGAGTAAGGGAAGTACAGGTAGAAGAGGGTCTGCTCCTTTCTTTGTTTTCAGAATTTTCACCAGGCCATCCTGCCATGGCATTGAGCAGGAAACTGCCTAGAATTCAGCACCAGGTAACTTTGCAAGGGAAATAAGGACAGACACAGTAGCTCCTGTGGCCAGGGAAGTGGTCATGGCTTGGCCCCAAGCCTTTAGGTGTTCAAGTGTTTGGACACCTAGCTAAATGGTTTAACTCTCATGTTGCCCTGTGTGAAGTCAGGAGTTGGGCTCAATGATCCAATGAAGTTGCAACAGGGAAAATTCATGTTGGTTATCAGGAAGAGGTTCTTCAGTGAGAGGGTGGTCAGGCACTGCAACAAGCTTCCAGGGCAGTGGTCACAGCACTGAGCCACTGGAACTCAAAAAGAGTCTGATTTTTGGGTGTTCCTTTATGGAGCCAGGAGCAGGACTCGATGGTCCTTGTGGGTCTCCAACTCAAGATATTCTGTGATTCTTATCTACAGGTAGGTGTCATCTGGAAATGTGAGGAAACAGAACTGAAGTTCTGCAAAACTTCTCCATGGGCAAATCTCTAAAGGATTTAGTAAAGGAATGACAGTTTTTAATTCCAGAGTGTTATGGGCCTCTGTGGATGGGAGAGATTCAGTTACTCTGAAACACGGACCATCTGATTGCTTAGATGCATCAATGCTTTTATGAGATGGTAAGAAGAAAGAAATTCCCACAACTGATAATTATGAGTTCTGTATCTGTATGAAAAAAAGTTGGGTAGAAAATCTCTGCACGCTCAGCCACTGTACTTCAAATAGGAAATCTATTTCTATTCTACTATTTCCATGCTGGAAAAGTATCCATGCAGCAAACATTTCAACAGGTTTGATAATGAAATATAGTGGGGAAAAGATGAAGGAAGAAAATTGGAAAGAGACAAAGCAATGGACAAAGAAAAAGCTGGAGAAGGTGTAAGAAAAGTGACAAAGGGAAAGAGGTAGGATGAAAGTTGAGAAGCAAATGGACAAAAAGGAAATCAAAAGGGAAAATGGCATTTCCATGAGATGTCCGTGCCTGCAGACTGCATTAGAACACTTGGAAAAAACCTGGCATTTCCACAAGAAATAGGATCTCTTTCGTAACAGAGAGGGTGGAGTCACAGAAGCAGGCCTAATAATTATGTAAGAACACATGCTAAAGGAAAACAACTGTAATCTTTTCTGTTTGCTGACGGGTCAAAGAAGGGCATGTGCCACACTGTGAAAAGCTGGAACATCTGCAGTATCTGCGAGCTGTAATGGAAAAGGAACCTGCAGTGACACCCAGAACTCTGTGTGTTCTGTGGCAGCTGCATTTTTATGAGAATTTGATGAGATCTTAACATATCCAGTGCGTCTCCACCTGTGAGCTTTCAGAATTGCTGTCAACTGCCACTTTGTATTATATTCACACCTACTGCTATGGGAAAGAAGGAACATTAAGTAGATCTTGATGAAATACTGCTTAAAATATCTTTTTAAACGGATCATTCAGGAATATCCTCAGTGTGCAAGCAATGTTTGTGATTCTGATTCACTTTCACATTTAACAGTGTGAGCATGAGCACTTCAGCTACGGGTGCACAAGAAGACCAATTTTGTTCTCACTTTGCCCAGAGTTGTTTTCCTGGCACCACTGAAGTCAGTCTCACTGGTTTGGATGAGAACAAAGTCACTGTGAGATACGTTCTCAAGCCCAGTAATGTTTCATTGAACATGCACTGAAATTAACAGAAACGCAACCACATAAAACTGTTCCCATTGCAGTGATGGGAAAC